CCTCGATTGTCATATTACAATGCAGTATATATACATTATTCATTAATTAATTGGATAATTGTAAAATAATTCTAATAACTTCATTCCAAATCATGTCGTGTAAAAGCACGAAATGGAAGCTTGAAAGGATGTTGTTTATTTATTTAAATCAAAGAAGAGATCCCAATTAACCGTTTCGAACAAATTACTTTTCGTTTAATGGATCATCATAATAAAGAAAATTAATTTCGATCTAATATATAATATTTATATTAAATAAAATGAATTAAAATAGATATATACGTATTGTCTGTCTCGTATATCAACTGCGAAGAGTTTATATCACGTTTCGCACTCTATTTCTTTTTCTTTCTCTTTCTCTCTCTCTTTTTCTCTCTCTTTTTCTTTCTCTTTCTCTCTCTCTCTTTCTCTCTCTCTTTCTCTCTCTTTTTCTTTCTCTTTCTCTCTCTCTCTCTCTCTCTTTCTTTCCCTTTCTCTCTCTCTCTCTCTCTTTCTTTTTCTTTCTCTTTCTTTCTTTCTCTCTCTCTTTCGGAGCGGATTTTTCGCTTTGGAAAAAAGAAAGAAGAGTCGAAACGAGGCGCGGCCTGAGCGAGACTTTGAGTGCACTGTAAAGAGAAACCGATGATAAATTCAAAACGTATCTCATATCGTGATGAGAACTATGAAGGATGGAACGAATACCGGGACAAAGGCCGTAATTTTCACATGTAATAATTTTTATTCCTTTTTGTCAGTTCGTCAAGGAAAAATTAAGTCCTTTCTGTATCGGTATAAAGTTTCCATCTAATTTCTAACAAGTAAATATTAATTATGAGTAACGTAATTCGTATTTCGAAGTAGTCTTTAACGTAATCATTCTTTAATTCAAGGTATCTCTTTCAAATTCTATTTTAATTGCTTTTTTTCGATATGTATGTATCTTAAAAGAATTAATAACATTAAAAACAAGAAAGTGGGTTGTCGAAAATTTCATTTAGAAATTTGTTTCTTTTTTTGGTTGGATTACATTCATTAATGAATATACCGATTCAATGTTTTTATACGTTGCAGAGATCGTTTAGAAAATAGGAAAAAAGATTTGCTTCTCTCTTCGTTTTCTTTTTCTTTTTCTTCGTTTTCTTTCCTAGTCCCATTTCTCCTTTCCATCCTCCCTTCAGAATCCGTTCTTTGAATAGAAATCGTAATGAAAACGATATAAACAATTCAAGCCGAAATTGTCTTTAGAAATTGTTTTCGTTTTGTGGTTGTTACTGTTTGAAATGAGAAATGAAATATATTTTAATATTAGTTTAGTGTTACACTTTAGAGGATGGAAAAAGTGTCCTGTTTGGTAGTTGGAGTTTTTCAAGTAATCATCCTTGACATATGTCGTCGTAACGAACCAATTTAAATTGGGTAGATAAACTTCGTATGCGTACATAATATATCTGTGTGTACACGTATATAGTATATATTTCTACGGTCGTATGTAAGCGTTATAAACGTCGTAAATTCTCTGGAAGTACATCCAATTTCTATGGCAAATTTGCGCGTTAATCGACCTCGAACGTTCAAAGTCACGGCCGTGTACGCAGAGACAAGATGTGATCAAAGTTGTGGATTATAATATTAAAAATGATAGAAGTGCATAAGAAATTTTGTTAAACGGTCCGAATCGAAAGAATAAAACGTATCGAGTGATATTTCGAATTATATTTCATTTCCATTATTTGCAAGTTATAATGGAATGTTTAAGTTCGGTAAATGCATTGGATTTCTATGCTGAATTTCAAACGAGATCGAGTAGTAAATTCGCGGATGTATTTAAATAAATTTTCTATTGCCTCTGGGACTTTTCCTTTGTCTTAGTTTCTTGCGTATGCATCTTTTACATCAATTTGTAAATTATCTACTCGTTCGTATTCCAAGTAGCGATCTCTCTCTCTCTCTCTCTCTCTTTCATTCTATTATTCTCTCATTCTCTTTCTCTTAGGATATATACTTATGCTCATACATTTGCACACATACACCGATGGTCTCGAGAATGTAACGAGAGATCAATGTCTTATGAACTCTGCATCCGTCGGACTCATTTGTTCATTAACTACTGCGACATCTGTCCTAAGCTTTCAGCACTTTAAGGCGTACACCGTAATTCTGCCACTTCTGCTAACAAGATAATCACAATCTTCACCTGTCGTCTGCTTATTATGTTTGTATCTTTGACAATATTTCTGTTATTTGCCTGTTAGCTTCGTATTCTTAAAAATGAACGTTCCTCTATCTAAAGTAAAAGATTAAATTATCATCCCGTATTAACTTCCATTCATTTTCAAATGATATCGTCCTAAATTTTCTTACTTTCCTATTGATATGGAATATAATTTTGAGAGAATATAAATACATCTTCCAACGTATCATTCGGTTATTCGTTCCATTAAATTTTCTTTTCATAAAAGTCGCGTCGACCCTTTTCCAACGTTGAAGTCTCCTGCCGTCGTTTAATGTAATATTTTTAATGTCGTATAAAAATATCAGTTATAAGGGAGAAGTGAGAGGTTATTGATTTCTACATAGCAACTTCTTTTTTTTTTATTTCTTCCAACGAAATTCTATTTTGTAGCAATCAAGTACAGTGTTCCATCGCTAGTAAAACATATTTACGAAGTGAAATGTACATCGAGATATGAAATATTGTTATCAATTGTGGTCATATACTCAAATGTCGACCACTAACTCGTGTATGCAAAATAGATTAAAAAAGAAAAAGAGAAGGCAAAAACGAAACAAAACAAAAATATCATTAGTCTTCTTTAACTCGAGACACATTTTTCTTTCGTATGTTCTTTTTATTGTTTCTTTTTTTTTTTTTTTTCTTACTAGCAAAGAAGTTGCTTGTTGGATCACGCAAGAAGGTACCTATCTATCTATACGTAACAATCAATTTTCGCAAGGATAATTTATAACGGAATTCGCATTACGAAATCCCCGATAGGAAAGTGTAAACTATCATGAATCATGTTTGTTCGAAGACGACACGTCATAGAATCCATTTCTCACATCCCAATACGACATAGCTCATGAAACTTTTACTCCGTGATTTTTATTTCCGTGATATAAAGAATACGGAGTGAAAAGTAAGTTTTTAAGAACGCCACATCGTTATTCAAATCTACATCTAGTTTATTTGGAAAAGTTCAGATTTATAACTGAGAATAAACGTTAGATACGATACTTCAAAGTGTTAATACAAGTTAACAGATAAACGAGCCCGATCGGGAAGCGATTTCATCGTCGCGCCCGTCGGATGTTCCACTTTCTATCTAAAGTTCATAAAATAAGAGCGCTCATAAATTTTTATCGGTAACGAACTCGGTACTTTAGTTGCTCTCAATTTTTAAATAGTCGAATTAAGACCGGTCCTCGAGACTAATTCATTCCGTTTGGTTTAAGAGTCAAGCGCGCACTATTATTCACCCAATCCGAATGTAACCGGCGCGTTAATTAAACTGAATTAAATTATTAAACTGAGGGGAACCCTCTCGATCGATTTCATTATCACGAACCGAAGATTTAAAGTTTAATTAACTAAGAAATTTACTAATCAAAACTTTAAAATTGATAAATTCACAAACTATTCGGGATTTATACAATTTGTCGTTGGAGAAAGATTTAAGTTTTAATTTTGTTAGGGGAATACGTGTATATACATGTTAAATACGAGATAGTATAGAGAAAGATAGAGTGATGATTAATTGATTAATAATAATAGTATCAAACGATATCCAAATCGATAATAATACAAGGTATATTTTTTAGTTCTCATCATGCCATTGAATATCATTTTGTGTTTACTAATAATCATATCTTTCTACTGGAATAACTATTCCTCATACTCATGTACATTTCACGGTCACGTTCTCTTTTCTCTACCTTTCATATTTCATTTTCGTTCTCTCGTCTGTATTCTTAGAGGAAACTACGAAAGAATTCTCCGCATATCTTCCAATTTCGGAATACGATCAATTTGTAGATATTAGATAAGATATTTTCCTTCGTCGTTCTCGAGAGTAGTAAAAATACGATGGAGAGATGGGGAGAGAGAAAAAGAGAAAAAGAAAGAGAGAAAGAGAAAGAGAAAGAGAAAGAGAAAGAGAAAGGGAGAGAGATAGAAAGATAAAGACAGGTAGCAAAGAGGAGAAAGAATAGAAGGCGATGACGAAGTTACACTTGCGAAAAGACGAGGAAATTCGAAAGGTAGAAAGTAGTGCTTAAGATAAGTCTGTTTTCGAAGGATTTTCAAAGATTGTACGATAAAAGTAAATCTTCCCGCGTTCTATGCTCGATGTAGCACATGATGCGCAAAGATTTAACAATTTCTTCTTTGAGAATTTGTACATTTATTCTCTCTTTTTTTAGTATTTAACTAAGAAAATATTCACCTTTCATTTCTTTATTTCGAACTATTGTAGTTAATAGGAGATTATATATATATATATATATATATATATATATATATATATATATATATCTATAATATATATATATATATATATGCTTGAGTATCTTGGAGGTGCACATAATGAAGAACTTTTACGACACGGTTCAACTTCTTGCCGAGTACGATAGATATAGCTTTTATGAACACAATAGTAGCTTCCACTTATAGTTAAATATATTTTCTCTCGCCTTTGAATGCCTAGAACGTCGATCGTTTTTTCAATGAACAAATTTAATCAAATAAGAAGTGTCCGCTCGGAAGGATATATATATAGAATAATATATATATATATAAATTAATTCATTAAAAAATGTTTTCTTTTCAACGTTCATACACATCATCCATTATTTTTTATTTTTGTTTTTGATTTTTTCTTCTTTTTTTTCTATTTTTTAATTATCCTCATCTCTTCCTTTTAACATCGAGACGTGTGATAACGAAAATTCGGATTTCGTCGGATAGGACGAAAAGAAAGTTACGGAGTCGATCAAAGTTCTCACTGTGAATGTAAATTGGGCAGGGCTGGTAAGCGGCGGTAGTCACGAGAAGCGGCTGCTGAGCAATCTGCTGGATGCGTATAACGTCCTGGAGCGGCCGGTGGGAAACGAGTCCGACCCCCTCGTCTTGAGCTTCGGCCTTACGCTTATGCAAATAATCGACGTCGTAAGTTCAAACAAACCTTTCAAACTTACTATCCTACAAGCTTAACGAGTCTTTTTCCTGTTCGTGCAATATTATTATAAACGCGCGTTATCGTCCTCACGTGTTTACCTAATAATAAGGAAAAAAAGAAAGGGAAAAGAAAAAAAAAAGAAAAAAAAAATAGATTACGATATAAATAAAAAACAAATAAATAAATAAGTAAAAAAAAAAAAATAAAATAAAAAAGAGAAAAACAAGAAAATCGAAAGGATCAATTTTACAAGATCTTTCGGTGATGCTAATATTTGAAAAAAATATATCTACGTCTTTTCGTATGGGTTTCCTTCGGGAATTTTGTCAAGTATATTTTCGTGACCGACTTTCCCTGTCATTTCTTATTCTCTCTATCTACTTCTCTCTTTTTTTTTCTTTTCTCTCTCTTTCTCTCTCTCTCTCTCTCTTTCTTTTTTTCTCTCCTTTCTTTTGCTATTTTTCCCACCAATGTAATCCATAGCATAATCGCGAGACATACTTTGCATGCATTATACGATTCCGTAAAGATTCAGTCACGGAGAGTCATATAGCCGACAAACTTTGCCGTTTAATATTAAATCGAGAGGCTAGATAAAATGAGCACGTTAATGCTGCAACGGTCTCACACAGTCTCCTTGTTTGACGTAATCTTCAACGGAGAAAGGGTTCAAAGAGCGCGTGTATCCGTTTATGAAGAAGAATCTTTCCCTTCTTTTTAACCTTCATGAGTATTTCTATAGGTCGTTTTTAGATACATACATACATATATTTATATATATATATATATATATATATATATACACACATACACATATATATATGCTACGATCTATAAGAGTAATACTTATTCTTTAATAAGATTCTGCTTCGTGTGCTTTGAAAAAATCTTTCATAAAATCTGTATGTGTGTATGTGTGTGTGTGTGTGTATAGATAAGCACGTGCGAGCTTGAGAACACACAGAGTACAAATAAGTTCGATGCACTCTCGATCTGCTTGCTAACTATGCATGTTTTTAAATTGAAACAACAGTTGAAAGTAAACAAATGTCGAAAATATTGTTATCTTTGTGTTGTTAAATAAATAGTCAAAGACTGATGAATTAATTTTGCCATATGTCATCAGAGGTCAATGTTTTAAATCTTAGTAACGATATTAGATTGTATCGAATAATATTAAATGCAAATAGAATACGCTCGTAATGTGTCATTTAGCGATTAGAAAAAGTGTTAAGTTCACATAAGTCCTGTAGAAAAATTCGTAATTTTAATTGTAAGATCAAACGTACGTACTTAACAAGATTATTTCGATTTAGCATTTTAATTTGTAAATTTACAAAATATTTCAACAATTTCAATATCGCGATAATGAATTTTTTAATATTTACCATGGAAAGATTAAAAGGATTCCGTGTAGCTTTATAATATATGTTTTTTTTTTGAATCCAAGTAGAGATCAATAAAATTCATTTATGAAATTGCATTTTTTCTGAAATTCCAATCTTTTTGTTTTTCAAACATCATAGTTTCAATGCGATAATTGTAAAAACGATAAAAGCAAAATTTTGAAATGACATTATATTATTATAATATTTATTTCATAATGAGAGGGAAGAGTAGGTATTCTCTTTTTTCTTTTTTTTCTGGAAAAAACGACCACGCAACTAAACTCTAATGAAAGCTAAAAATAGCTTTGTTGCCGTATTTAACGTATCTTTGTTAGGCTGTAATTATACCTCGATTATAACAATTATTCTAATAATATGTCCATAGTTGGCATACGCTCAACGATTTAAAATTTTTCTACGGTCTAATTACGTAATATACATATGCCAGGGTAAAAATTAGGAAGGGAAAATTTAGTTCTCGTCGATGTTACGGAACGTGTTATTATAAAAGTTTAGATAGAGGATAGGTGTGAATCAAGGATCGAAAGACGAGCTTGCACCAGGGTTGGAGTGGAACTGCTTTGTGTGTTCAAAATAGTAGGTGACAAGAGCATCATTAGAAGGGTAATTAAGAACAGAAAGGACATGCGCTGCTTCGATGATTAGCCGTGTTAACTTTATGTTAAACTAAAACTTGATCTAATATAATTAATCTGTGGAAAAGTGAACGAGATCGAGGCGTTTGACATTTCGTAAATGAACGTCTCGGGACTTCATCGTCTATTCATTTGTTCTTGAGAGCACTTACGAATCTTAATCTCTTTTTCTTTCTTTCTTTCTTTCTATCTTTTTCTTTCTCTCTCTCTTTATCTTTGGTAAAAGACTTTCTAGAAACATTAAAAAGTATGGTCCACTTTTTTCCACGCTTTCTCGACGCGACGTGTTTCCGTTTTTCTCGTTCCGGTCGTTGTCTGCAAACGACGATTTCATGATGGGTTATGTTTTTGTTCGTACACGAACTCGGAGCTTTCTTAATATCTCTCCGTGGAATTAGCCGAGCATTATGAAAGCCGAGCATCGAAAAGCTTGAAGTAATCGGAACTGCATCGATGTTACCCATTCGAAAACTTTCGAAGATATTACATTAGAGTAAAAGTATTATTCGAATAATTTTTGTTTCTTTTTCTTTATTAATAGGATTTATTTCGAGAAGGATAAATTTATATTTTTCTTCTATGATATCCTCTTTCGATCGAATACAAAGATGGAAGAGTTGTATAAAGGAGTCACATTTGTCAACATTACGTCATTTAATCCCATTTCATACGTATGTACTTATATATATATGATGGTTTCTTGAACGAGGCTGCTGAATGCGAAACATATTTTTGAGAGTAATTTAGGCATTCCTCCCAAACAGTTAACGTTAACATCATTTAGAAAGGTTTTGCAGTACAAGAGACTACCAGTCATTTTATTTGACTGTATGCTATGTGGAGAGAGTTAAAAGTAATTTAGATTTTGTAATGAAAAAAAGACAAAACATGAACGTCTTTGTCGACATTTATTTAATTAACAAATGATTTCGTATTCGTCGTCAATGATTGATACTTTTATTCGACTTTCGATAAAATTCATTTATTCACTTTAAAACAAATGTAATTTTTAATAATGTGCCGATTAGCGTTCGATGAATGGATGGGAATATAAACGGGTCTCAAAATCGTACCAAAGGATCTCGTAATTTTTTTAGCTCGATAATAAAAGGGAACAGTGTTCTTGCAATGAATCCATAAGGATTCTAATATCCAAAATATCGGTAAGAAACACTATGGCAATTGATGAGCGAGAAGCGTGATCTCTTTATAAGTTTGTATTGACCCAATGAGCAAAGACAGAAAGAGAGAAAGAGAGAGAGAGAGAGAGAGAACAGAGAGCAATATTGCGACATTCGGTACCTAGGTGAAACGTGCTTTCGAATACGAAACAGCAGATACATACGAGTACGAACAGCTAGCTACGCATATACTGCGTCAGAATATAATGTATCACAGTTCTGCGTGTAGTGTGCGATGCAAGCCGTGCAATAATTAATATTCCATTAGATACACGTTGTTTCTTGCGCGTTCGTCTTGCCCTGTTAATTCTAAGCAAATTTAATAATTCGATTTCTTTATTAAAATACAAATTTCTTCGAGAAATTATACATCTTTATATTTTTTTAACTGTTCTTTTTTGTTTATTATTCTATCCTAGATATATTTATGTATTTATTATAATTCATTTGTAATCAATTTTATTTATATTTTTAATTCGAATATCAATTAAATTTTCATTATTGTTTGATTGATTAAATCGTCAATAGCACTGATTAAATTAATGTAAATTCGATCAATCAATTATTTGTTTGCTCTGTATCGTAATCGTTTAAAGTTAATCGAATGTTTCTGATCGTGCATCGATTTATATATAAGAACAAAGATCTAAGCGTTAAGAAATTTAGAAGCTTTACGCTTTCGGTATTTCGAAATTCACGCCAAGTAACGTCGCGACTTAATTGAAATGGGCTTAGCATTCGGCTAGGTAGGACTTAGTCTTGAAATTAGCCAAGTTGGAAAGCCTCATAGCCGGTAGGTACGAGTAAGAAGAGAAGGAGCCATTTTCCTCCTCCGAAGAAACAAATAGAGAAGTGGAAGATAGACAAAGAGACTGAGAGACAGAGGAAAGAAGAAAGAGAGAGAGAAAGAGCGAGAGAGAGAGGGAGAAAGGGAAAGAGAAAGAGAGAGAGAATGAGAGAGAGAGAGAGAGAGAGAGAGAGAGAAAGGTCGTGCATGCGCGAACAACACCACTATACACGAGTAATTCTAGCAAGTAAGAGAAACTCGAAAGCGTTATCGTCGATGAGCGTAATATACATATTTCAGAATAGGGAATCTTAGTTTAGGTCTTCCTTATCTCACGACGAGTTTGTCTCGCGGCTAAATGAAGCATCTCGAAACCAATTGTCCTCCTTGTTTCTCTTTAGTCGTGTATACCATAGAGACTTAGTTACGGTTTGTTGATAGAATAGTAAAGATAGAAACGTCTAGATAATGCCTTTGTAAAAGACTTCTTAACTTATATATATCCAAATATATCATGGATAAACGGATCTCTCAAAAAATTCTAGAATTCGAATTGGACTCCGATAAATGGAGTTCCATTGTGGTTCAATCCAATGGTAGTGTGTCCTAACGACGAAATAAAATAGTCGTAAGCTCGCGTTTTGCATCGTTTTCGTTTCTTATCTCGCTCAAGGCACTCTTTAGATCGTCGGATTTCTTGCTGCCCCAAACAGCTAACCAAAAAGTCTTGAATTAAGAAAATTGCTAGAGGGGAAATGCTTATTTTCCTAAAAGACTTACCATCTAAAGGCTTTCCAAATGGACTCGGAAATTTCGACTATATACCCTCGAAATTCCGTGGTTTTTAAAGTTTCAAAAGATCCGTCGGTATTTGCACCGAGAACGAACAAGAAATTCTGGTATTAATTGATGGTTGAGAAAATATAATACATGGACAGGCAGTGACCTAAAATTTCGAATGTTGATCAGAATAAACAT